TAGTGATGCGCGTGAAGCATTGAGCACAGCTGGTGCTGACGTCCGGGACTGTTTTCTCATCCGATGACTTTTTCCTGTCTCTCTACAAGTCTCTATCCTGGGGGCTGTGTTTTAAGCCGAGACGGACGTTCTTCCTGGGGGTGTGTGCGCTGCTGTCCGCCTGTCCCTCTGTGAAAGGTCCTCCGGGACATGAAACCCGAGGCGTGCACCCACCTTTCTCGGCCTTCTTGGTCTTCAGCTCATAATCCTGCAGCCGGAGCATCAGCTCCTCCTTCTCCCGCATCATCTGCTCCTTCTCTCTCTCCACGGTCTCTCTCCTTTTCTTCTCCGTTTCCAGCTGCTGCCTGTTACGGGGAGGGCGAGAGGTGGCACAGGAAGCTCTAGACTCTGCAGGCATGTGCGCTGTCAACACTTCCACGGTCAGCCATCCCAGCGAGACACCCCGGCCGCAACCGGCCCCGGAGCCAGCCTGTCACCAGCCCCAGCAATCTGAAGGAGCAGCTGCTTCTTGGTCACCTGCTGTCCCCAGTGCCCAGTTGAAACTAAGGAAGTGAGGTGGCAGCACTGACCCAGCTCCCCTGAGCACTCCCGCCCTGGGCTCTGCCACCACCCAGCCCACAGCGGGGCAAGCTCTGTGGGCCACTCCTGCACGGCTACTAGGTTGTGTCCCATGGGCGGGCAGGGCTGTCCCGGAGCCAGGGCCGCGCTCCCGCTGGCCTGCACCCCGCTCACCGCTCCAGCTGCTTCTGGTGCTTCTCCTCCCGGGCCTGGGCCTTCATCTGCTGCACCTCGATGGTGTCGGGCTTCCTGCGGCGCATGTACAGCTCGTGGTTCCCCATGCAGAGCTGCAGGATCCGCTTGTTGATGCGCAGGCGAGGTGCATAGAACACGAAGTCCTGCAGAACAGAACGGCGCTGCTGACTCGGGCGTCTGGCTGCCACCCGGCTCCACCAGGTTCTAGGCTCTTTTCTAAAAGGCCTAATGTAGCAGACAGGAGGGGGCCAGAAGGGACCCTCTGGATAAAGACACTGACTCCAGGTGACAACGAGATGCCAGAAATGCAAGTTCTCAGTGCCGTGGGACGTGTATGCTCAGGAACGAGCAGAGGGAGGGTGTGCTGTCTGACCGCGTGTGGGTGTGCACGTGCACACACGCACAAAAATCCCACGGCTGGACTGCAAAGCTGCTCCATGGTGCGGGGTCTCATGGCCCCGGGAGCCCAATACCCCCGAGTCCCGGTGTTGACTGACCCTCAGGTTAACATCTCTTGTCCTCTCCAGCCCACAGCCACACCCCTGATTCCAGGGCTGCCACGACTTCTACTTGAGCGTGCCGTCTCCTCCGCCTCAAACTGCTGCCTCCCACACTGCTACCAGCACGTCCCTCGGGTCTCTGCTGGATCTCCAACGCCATCCTGTAGCTCGCTCCAGGACCAGGCACAAATGCCGTGGCCTAGTCCACATGAAAGCCAATCCACTCTGGCCCCGACGTGCCCCTTGCTCACCTAAACTGTGCTCTTTCATACCTGTGAGCATTCCCCAGTCAGTCAGCCCCTCCTCTTTGGAATGTCATGTAAAAATCCCACCTACCCGAGGACAGTGGCACTGCTATGGGACGACGTTAAAGCATCACCACATGCCTTTTCTGTGACCCCGTCCACCTCCCGTGGTTGACCAGCACTTCTTTTGTGTCCCCTGCACTCGACGCTGATGTCAGCCACGGTGTTGCTGGCAGCCCACTCTGCTGACTCGTCTTGTCTCTCTCTCTCTCTCTCTCTCTCCCACTAGACAGTCAGTTCCCAGGACAGCAGGGCCATGTTCATTCACCTCTCCAGTTACAGCACCAAACCGACCCACTCAGTGTTAGTGGTGCTCAATCAACACCCGCCGGGTGACTGACAGTTCGTGCAGCACTGCTACGTCCAAGCCCCATGACCTTGAGCAAGTCCCTGAGCCTTAGCTTCTTCGACAATACAACGGGGGTGACGGGCACCTAACGAGGTTGCTTGAATTAAATCATATCATGTCTGTAAGGGCTCAGACTGTGTCTGGCACGATGAAAGTTGGCTGGGCAGAGTGCTCACTCAGAGACCACTGGTTGCCTTAGGAACCGGCTAGCAGAGAAACCTTAAAGAGAAACAGCATCCAAGAACTTTATGACTAGTGACTACAGAAGTCCACCACACAGATGACACAGCTTGCCGCCTCGCTCCTTGCTACTGCTGTGCTTAGGGGGAAGGGGAATATGGCTTAGAAACTCTTGCTAAAGTGATTTAAAAATGCTTGTCTGCTTCCTCTTCCTTTTTTCCTTTCTCATCTCAGCAACAGGACCCTCGGCCTCCAGATTCTGACCACTGGAACAGGGAAAGCGTGGCTGAAACCAAGAAACGGTGCCGCACGTTCCACAGCAACTTCTGGAACCTAAAGGAACATGCCAGGCAGGCTAATCCACCCGCCCAAGAAGGAGTTACTTGGCTTCCTGGTCTTTGCAACTGTTCCAGAAACACCAGGGAGAGGGTAGTGTCGGGCGAGGGGGGGGGGCTCCCCTGAGGGCTTCACACAGTGTTATTAAGTCATCGGGTTTCCGGGGAGGTGTCTGCACAGCTGGGAGAAACAGGTCATTTTATTACCCACTTGTCTCTTATTTCACAAGAGAAAACACTCGTGTGTTTTGGTTGTATGGGCAGACGCGCGACTCAGGTCTTGCTGTGGCTCCTGAGTCCTGGACTGGCAAAGGAACGCTGGTTGGCACCAACTCCTCTTTAGAAAGTTTAAAAAATCAGGAGAAGGAACTGCGGGGAGCATCCTCTCCTGGCCCCCAGTGTCCCCCACAGGCCCTGCGCCGGGCATACGAGAGCTCTGAGCCTCGTGCCTGCTCTTTGAGGGGAGGTAATTATTAAAAATTTCTAAATGCTGATCTCCAGCCAATGCCCCCTAATGCAAAACCACGACACTGACGAGACCCGGGACAGGCCCTCTAAACTCTGATGGAGAAAGAACGTCTTAAAAATGAAAACCCTAGGCACAAGGAAAGTTCAAGGACACGAACAGACCCTCTAAACTCTGACGGAGAAAGAACGTCTTAAAAATGAAAACCCTAGGCACAAGGAAAGTTCAAGGACACGAATCCAAATGCAGTCTTCAGAGTTGGTTGAGAAGTGAACCAGGGGACCTCCAGGCTGCTCCCCCACTGGGCCCCATCAGCCCAGGGCGGGGTGGGAGGCGGCCAAAGGTCATGGTTAAAGAAGCTGAGCATGGTTAACGGGTCGGTCACACCGTCAAATGCCAAGTTTCATTTCTTCGACATTTGCAAAGGTGTTACAGAGGTGCCTGAGAGCCTTCTGCTTGTTTCATGAGGCCACAAGGACAAAAAGGCCCTTTTCTGAGGGGAGACAGCTGGACTCAGCCCCTCACAGGGCCACCTGGGCAGGCTTCGAACATTTATGGTATTTAAGGCCCCAGACTGCAGTCCGTAAGCTGGCAGGGAGCAGGGACGGCTCTGTAAGGGAAGCTCCTGGCCCCGGGGAGCAGGTGGTGAGTGCACGGGAGAAACCAGGGGAAAGACTCTGCCTTGCCAGCCTCGGCTCGCCCTTGGGGGCTTTTCTGCCTCCCAGGGAAAAGTTTAAACTGGGAAATGCGATTTTCTGCTGCTGCAGGTGTAAAGACAAGCTGGGCATGCCAGCGAGGAGAGAAGCTGCAAAGCAGCCCTGTGAAGTGTGGAAGGTACAGGGACTCGGTCCCTTGCCAGCTCCTCACATCCCAAGATGGGGAGCCTGAGCAACCCAAAAATCTGAAGCAGTCACCCAGTCCCTATCTCGTGTCCCCTTTAAATGGCAGAGGGGATGGCCGATCTGCTACTGCATCATCGCTCTAGTGTTAAATTTACTGCCGGGAAGCACATTACTTGTTTTACTTGTTTCATCCACCTCTCCCACTGGAATGAGGATGTCACGAGGGCTGGGCGCCCCGAGTGCACTGTGCACCGACTCTAGAATGGTGCTCGACAAGAAGCCAGCCGTTTCTCTCCTGGTTTTTTTCTTTTTTTTTTCTTTTAAGTGATGGCTTCACATAGAACTACTGTATATATACTAAGAGTAGACTTGGCTAATCCAACCGCATGCATTCTAATTGCCTCCGCTTGGGATTTTGATTCGGAAATATTGGCAGCTTTTCAAAAGCTAACCTTATACCAAATTTTTTTAAAACAATCCTTAAACGGTGTAGTCCAGAATTCCTGTTGGTCAGTCCCATTAAAAAAAAAGGTTCTGGAAAATTAGCACCGTCTCCCTGAGGAGACAGCAGCCTATGCAGAGACTTCAGGGTCTTCTCGCCTCCTCAACGTCCCAATGCCATGCCCAGGTAACGCGCCACACGCTGACCCCGGCTTGTGGTGCTGCTCATTAATGTGCCCTGTTATCACGGGGCTCAAGGGTCTGTATTTTAAATAACTGTGCAGCTGCCCATGGAGGAGGAGTCGAGAGCTTGCAAAGAGCAGGAAACATTTTCAACAGAAAGAAAACACTTTCAGTGTTGAGACCTCTGGTCTTCACTTATACGGGACTATGCGCAGGGAGGAGCAGCTGGACAGTAAAGCCACATAGAAAGAAAACACTTTCACAAACAGTGTTGAGACCTCTGGCCTTCACTTATACGGGACTAAGCCATGCGCAGGGAGGAGTAGCTGGACAGTAAAGCCACATGCGCAGGGAGGAGTAGCTGGACAGTAAAGCCACATGCTGTTCGCCCTGGCGTTAACCATCGCCAGGCGGTGCCCAAGCCCAGCGAGGGCTCCCAGACGTCCGGCCCACAGCACAGCCCACGCTCGCCTCTCTCAGCCTAACACTGTAACTAAGGAACGAGAATTACACGAGACACAAAGTCCTTTCCAATCTATAATTTTGGTAAAATTCAGAACAGACTCTAAGGAAAGTAACAGAATTTCTTCAAGCGGTGATGTTTTTTAAGAACCGGATTTCTGATTAGAAAACACTCCTCACCAGTCCACCACACCACAGTGTGTACGTATGTCTTAAATATTCTGAGTAGAATAAACCACAAAACCAAATTTCCATAATGCAGTGGTCTCTGCGGCTGTTAGCTCACATTCAGTATTCTTTAAATTCCAGGATGTGACGTCTCATTTCCAACTAAGTTCTCCCAGGATGACCGCCTGTCGGTCTCATGTTTGTGAGAGGACCAGTGTGACTGTACCACCACCGTGAAGTTGCTTGTGTAAAGACCACTTGAGGGGCACAGGGCAGTCTGCAAAGGGCTGAGGCCACTGTCTGCATGACAGAAGCAGGTGAGGTACAGATGGACCTTGGGGGACAGCAATGCTCCAGACACGAATCTGACTTTTCCTGCCAGGCACGAGTTGCAAGGAAAGCTCTGGAAGTCAAAAGCTGGCCCTCGAGGCTTGCAGCAATCATTGCCACACTCCAGGCGGGACCGGAGATGCTGCTGGGAGCCCCACACCACACACACGTACACTCTGGGAGGCTAGCCAGTTTTCCACCTGGATACGAACGTTTCACAAGCCCAGAAATGCTTATCATTTGGCAAAGGTCAATGACTCAGAGCTGCCCTTTTCTTCATAAGGAATGAAGACATTTGAAAACTTAGGTGACAGTCAGCCAGCTTTTGACAGACACCTGGCCTCCATGATAACCTCGCACTGCAGCGGTCAGTCACATGGCTCAAGTCTCATTGTATATTGACCCTCAAGGTAACCTGTTGGCAATCCTGCCCACCCCCTGCCCCAACACACGCATGAGTAATCACCAGCTCTTTGTCACTTAGGCAGAGAATTCTGATTTGTCCTGAAAACACATTTGACGCTAAGAATAAAAAAGTCACCCCCCACGTATAATCCACATGAACTTACAGGGGACTTCTTGTCGATGGGCTTAATGACAAACTTTTTGTCATTGAAAGAGATGTTCCTGATTTCACTCCACGGGAAGCCAATCTTTGGGGTCAACCTGAGGTTAAAAAAGTGGATGGTTAGAAATGCTTGGATAGGCTGAGAGGTTTGCAAATCTAGTCTTAGTACTTTTAGTTCGATTTTAAAAAAGTATAAAGCTAGCTCAGGAAGCATAATATATAATATACATCATTACGAAATAACCTCTACCTATTCTAGGTGAGTCAGGTGGCTGCTTGTAAGGTTCATTCAAGCTGTAGAAAACCTTAATGTTACATTAGACTTTCTCTGTTTCAGATACCATTCTAGAAGTAACATAGATCTTCAAACCGCCAAAGACACTGCATCAAAACCAGTCCTTTCCCACATGCCATAAAAACTTCCAGTTTAGAGAATAGCATGGGTGTGGAAGAATCTACTGCCTTCCAACACATTTAAATACAAACTGATGGGCAATGAAGGTCTTGCTATGACAACACAGGCCAGGTCATGGCAGTGAGGGGTGGCCTCTGAAGGCCAAGAGAGAGCATCTAAACCCAACAGATGGCTCTTTTGGGACACAGCGGTCATGTACACCTGGAGGGATGTCGGGGCACTGGCCAGGCGGTGGTTTTGCATGTCGGATCTTTTCGGCACACATCCCTTCCTACAGCCCTACCCCACGGATTCACCAGTGGCTGCGGAAACGCATCTGGCCACCATGTGTCACAGCTCTCAAGCCAACATGCAGAGTTTGCTGTGCTATTTCAGCTTCGTATATGGGATAAAGAATTTTTAAAGAGGTAATTTTGTTTACAGGTCCCTGAGCACCAAAAGGAACTCAAGATATCTCCTGGTCCTGCCAATGGCTTCAGCCTACGTCCTTCCATGTGGCTGTAAGTGACATCGGGCAGGCGTGTGCTGTTTCGGAGTACTGTCCTCCAGCCCACAAGAGCAAAATGCTGGAATGACAGGAGCCCACCGACTGCTGCTCAGTTCTCAGCTGTACAATCAACACTGTGGGTCAGATTTCGAGCTCCCAAACCGCTAACGAGGCAAAGGTCTACTCCCCAGCTCCTAGCTTTATGCAGGTCTCTCAAAACAGTTTCTGATCCGAGACAGCTCAGACCTTCAGGCTGGACAGGCATCTTTCTTTCAAGAGTCGGGCATCCTGTCACCATGGCCTCCGGCCTTCTGCTTTCTGGTGTGTCTGGAAAGTTTGTCTTTTAAGACTGAGTGCTCATAACAATGGAAAGCCACTCATAGGCATGAGTGCAGTATCGATGACGAGGCCTAAACACGGAAATTATGACTCACATCTGAGTTAAAAAACCTCCTTTAATTCTTGACCACAGTTAGAAAATTAAAGTCTACAAGGATTTCTTTCTCTCTTTAAGAATTCACATTTAGAACATGAATAAAGAACCCACAGAGAAGATTTCTAAAGATTTATATCTTGGGTCTGTCCTTGTGTAGGCCGCATGTTAAAAAAAAAAAAAAAAAAAAAATGAGAATCTTGAATAACAGGGACCAGAGCTCTTTGAAGAAAGAGCCAATTCCAGGCCTGGAGCAGGGAAAGTATAGGGCGATCCTGGAATATTTTGAAATAACAGGTAAAGTGCTCAAAAAATAATGAGGTCATATCGAAAGGGCACGGGAACGAACTTGAATGGGCTCGTAAAGGCAAATCTCAGACAATTTGAGCAACAAAATAATAACAGTATGACATCATAGCCCACGGAATAAAACAAATATCTACGAGTCCATATTAATAGAAATAACTAAATAAAGAAGTGGAGACATTGGCCCCTTACGATAGAATCCCAATTAATACATGTAAAAGAGATAATTAAGAGTCTCATGCTCTACTGACTGAGCTAGCCGGGTGCGTCGAAAAGGAATAATTAAAAACAAACCCCCCAAAAAAACTCCATTTCTCAAATACCAGAGTAATAATTGTTTCATGCAAGACTCATCAAGAGATGCTAGACGGATGAAAGGATAAGAAACAGGACATTTACAGAGTTTCAAAGTATCTCCCCGAAACACTCATTAATTAGGGGGAGAAGGGCAGGAACTCCACAGGAGCCTGGCAGACACCACCTTCACCAGTGATCAGAGTTAACGCCGCCTGTCATGAGATATTCTGACGTCACGTGCCGCCTTGCAGGGCCCTGGAAGGGCATGACGTCACTTCTGTGGGATCCTTGCCAAAAGTACAAAACTCGAATGTAATCATGAGAAAATAGCCCCAAGTTGAGAGACTTTCTACAAAGCCGATGAATGGTCAGTACTCTTTGAAAGTGTCAAGGTCCTGACGGACAGACTGTGGACAGATGGAAGGAGACGGGGAAGCATGACGACTGACTGTACGTGTGATTCCGGGTGGGATCCTGGGGCAGGACAACTGAGTATAATGGGAATACTGTCTATGGACTGTTAACAGTGCCACATCAATGGCAACTTCCTGATTTTGACACCTGGAATATGGTTACAGGTATTAACGTTTGGGGAAGCTGGGTGAAGGCCATATGGGAATTCTTTGTATTTATTATTTTTGCAACTTTAAAAAGTCTGAAGGAATTTCAAAATGAATGGTTAAAGAATTTTAATTCAGAATACGCCACTGAGGGTGATGATGATGTTCTGATGTTGACAGGAGTTTGGATTTTACAGGCAAATGTGTTTGTCTAAACCCAGCGAGTGAACACTTCAGAACTCTGCATTTCATTGTGTGCAAATGTTATATCAAAAGAAAATGAATCATACTGAGTTCTAGTCAAGGATATGCATGTTTGGGAAAGTATACAGATGCCTGCAATTTTACTTTGAAATGTGTCTGAAAGAGAAAACCAGAGGGTACAGTGATATGTGGATGGCAGAGACGGGACAAAGCCCAAGTGGTAAAATGCTGATGGTAGACTCTCGGCTGCAGGCACACGGGTGATCACTGTAAAATCCTTTCTGTTTTGCAATTTGTTTTAAATTTTTCATTTAGAAAGTTTGGAAAAGGTCCAGGCAGCGCAATGGGCTGGAGATCATGCCATGCTCCACAGATGGGGCAGAGCAGCCCAGCCTTCGCCCTGAGGCAGTGAGAGGGGCAGAGATGACTCGCTAACCTTCGCTGTCCCTGGGGCAGGCGAGGATGAGGGGGATGCGACCCCACCAGGGACTCTCGCCCACCGCCTGCTGCACCGCCAGTCGACGCCCCTGGCACATGTCCCAATTCTCTTCTCTGCCAGTCTGAGGCGGACTTTTAAACTTCTTAGTAGAGGTGGTCTTACTGGAACCCTTTGCCATAGCAAACTTCTATAAGAATTGACTTGAAAAAACTGTTCCATGTTCAAGTTAGGGTTCCAAAGATCAGAAAGGGGAGAATGGCCTGACGAGCATGATCTAGCACATCTGGCAGGGCAAACCCACACCAGTCAAGACCACTGCTCTCCTCCTGCACAGGTAAGCCACTAACGATAAGGCACAAAGACATAACCCTACCCCTCAAAAAGGCCCAAATTAACATATTCTGCCTAATGAGTGTAATTTTAGAATAACTGGAAATAGTTTATTTAAAATGGTTGGTCATTATAATGTGCTTGAAACATCATTTCTAAAGTGAAGAAAATGAAAATGTAAATCAAAATATGTGATTTACAACTAAGGAATTTGATGGAAAAGATAGTTAGTTGGCTCTTATTTTGGTCCTCAACTTCTCTACAGCCCTTTCCAGCATCTTCTCCCTGGAAGGGTCGATCACGTGGCCTGCTGGAGCCTGAGCCCACAGCACAGTCAGGGCTTATTGATGGAAGGACCCCAAAACGGAGGGAGCCCCCCCAGAGAGCAAAACGATGCCCTCAGAGGACTGAAGAACTGGGGGGCGGGATCAGGTTTCCCTCGCTTCGTTTTTTGTTGTTCTGTTTTTGGGCTGAGGATGTCACCTATAGCTATAACACAGCTGGCTAATCTGGACTTTCTCCGTTCCCAAGCTGATAACGCCCTTCACAGAGGGTCTGGGTCTGCCGACATCCTCCCTCCCTCCCTCCATTCCTTCTTCTTCTGATCTGCGGGTTTACAGAAAGGAAAAGACAAGTATTTTCATCTTACCCGCTCACCCTTAACGGTTATGTACACAACGCAAAAGAGACCCCAAAAGACATTTCCCATTCAGAGCATATTTAATACTAAAAAGAATAAGCGGTGTCGTGAAATAAAGATGTAATTATGTGCAGGGTGCACTGAGTCTCTCCTCACCCAGCTCATTTCTCACTGGAACAAGGGTCCGGGAACTTCCAGCGCTCCAACTGTTAGTTCTCAGGTGACAAGTCAACACTCAACCCCAGGCGAGGGGTGTCTAGCACTCCTCCAACGTGAGTCACAATCTCCTGCTTATCCTGGAAACCGAGCTGTCAATATTTGTTTAGAAGGAGACGTTGGGCCTATTGATTAAGTGAATATCTGGTCAGTGTTTTTGTTTTTTTTCCCCCTAATCAAAGAGGGGAGCAGAGAGAGAGGCAGGAAGTGGGGCTGCCCCCAGGCCGCAGTATTTTCTTTGGGGCGAAGACCCCTTTGAGAGAACTGCCAGTTTCACTGATAAATTGGGGTCGGGCGGTGCGGGGAGAGAAGGGGAGCAGGAACAGGACTGGAGGAGGAGTGCAGCTCAAATTTTACTTAAAAAAAAAAAAAGAACAGAACGTTTGCGTGGGTTGGGGGCAGTTACAGGCTGACATCAGCAAGTTCTTGCCTATGGCTGTTTCTTGCAGCTTGAAAAACCTGTTTGGACAGGCCTGGCCATGGCTATGTTACAAAATCTGGTCATTCAAGAAACGAGTTCAAAGAAGAGGCAGTTCCCACATATAAACCCCACGAGGCCGCTGTGTTCTCTATTCCGTGCATGGCCGTGTTGACCAGCCACCATCCCCCGACTCGGGGGCCTCCGGAAGGACCTCGAACTGGCCTCCCAGCCCCCTCACTTACCCAGATTACTGACGTTTCTCTACAGCACTAGGTCTCACATGCCCAGGGGAGCAAGCCAAGTCTTGAGCAACTCACTTCTAGGTTCTGGAAGAGTTCTCGTGATTCCCTAACAAGCATACTGCGTCACGTCGTGTAACTGGATTTTCCCAATAGACGGCGATTCTCCTCATAGGATCCTAAGCATGCTCCATCCAACCTTAGGCGCCCAGAGCGGGATTTAAGAGTCTGGGCCAGGCCCCTCCCGAATGCAACATATCTGTACTTCGGGTTCTGGCAAGAACACGTGTGGCCGGGGTTACAGATGGATTCCTTACATAGTGTCATTTGTCAAAAGGGGTACCACTCCCCTTGTGAACACCAGCGAGGGTTTTTTTTTTAGGGACTCTGGGGTGTGGGGGAGCCATGAGCATGAACACCTGAGAACAGGCGGGATGCATGAGGCAAGGGGAGGGAATGAGGGAGAGCCACGACTTAAAGGAACAGTATGCAGCTGGGAGGGAACGAGGACATGCGGCCTGGCCTGCACTCTGTGCCAGTTCCAGGGGCCCGCGTGCACCCCTTAACTCTGGGCCCCTCTGCCCACACCCGTGTTAGTGGGATCCCAGGCCAAAGGGTTGGCCTTGGCATCAGGCTCGGGCACAATCCTGCCTGGCACCTCCTCAGCCAGAACCGCTGCTGCCCTCTGCCAGGACCTTGAACTTGACGGCCACTACCAGAGCTTGTTTCGGTGGCCCTTTAAGACGGACATTCCAGGGACAATACAGAGTCTCTCTCTCCCTTCCAGTCCCAGAAGAGACAGTCCCCTCCTACTGCCGCTTAAATGCAGGTAGCTTCTGATCAGAAGCTAGAATTTAGGCTTCTCCTCGGAGCTGAGGGGACTATCTCAGAAAACTTGCCCTCACTGAGTCCGAGTGATTTTCTGTGTATCTAGCTTCTTGGCAGAAAAAAGGCCTTCATGCAGTGTTTGCAACCACAGGGATGGGCACAGGAGGTGAAGGAGAGGCCCGGCCTCCTTGCTTGAACCCTCACCTGGCCTGCTTTATACTGTTTTAGAGCTCACTCAACAGACTGCACCAACAACAGGCAATCAGATACCTCCCGGCAGTTTCAGAGGCTTTAGCTAAATCGTCCGCACATAAGCCCCTGACAGTACTATAAACATACTTGGTTGGATGGGAGGCTATTGTTTGCAGAATTGCGAGGTCCCTGACAGTACTATAAACATACTTGGTTGGATGGGTACAAAGCCCCAGGTGCCTGGCACTGCTGGGGCTGCCTGGGTGGTCCCTGTGGGTGTGCTGGGGAACGGGGCCTCAATGCAGTGGGGGGCTGTGGTCACAGACCTTCGTGGTCTCCCTGCTGGGCCCCTCAGCACGTGCCACATGCACCAGGTAACAAGCCATGGTGACAGGAGAGAAACAATGCACGGCCCATGTGGCCACATCACAGCTGGAAAGCCCTTCGAGATTCACACACTGGGCCAGGAAGTGGCCAGATAAAGACTTCGAAAGTAACCCACGTGCACCCTTGCCGTTTCTCCATTGTTTCCAGGCCCCGTACCCCACCCGCTAGAGATAATCACAAAGTTCAACTCACTTGTCGTCCTTCTCATAAATATTTAGTCCGAGGGCATCCACTCCGAGCCACAGGTCTGTTCCTTTCTTATTTTTTATCTCAAAATAGTTGATGCCGTACATTTCCAGGTCCTGGGCAATCTTCAGATACTCCAGCATCGCGCTGTCTCTAGTTGGGGAGAACACACGTGGGCATCACGGTGAGTGCACACGAGCCTCGGCAGCTGACACACCGCCGGCATCTGAAACGTACGGCCGACCGCACAGGGCGGGCCAGCGGCTGTGTGATCCCGCCACGGGCCCATGCACACCTGTACCCCAGGCTGTCCTGGGCACTGACCACCGATGGACTGCACCCGTTCTCCAGGAACTGAACTGATTCACAGTGGTTTCCCTGGACCTAGGTTTTCCTCTTACGTCTCACTGCCAGGCCCGAGCTCCCTTTCTCTCTCGCTCACGTAGGGCCCCCAGGGGATCCCGTTGCCCACAAGGAGCAGCCAGGGCTTCGCTTCGAGTTACTTCTTTCCACACAAGAAGCTTGGCTCGGACAGGAGACTCAAAACACATGTCTCTGAAAAGCCCAAACTGCAGATGAGCTTCCAGGGCTGGGACGACGCACAGGGTGGGTGACTGCCGAGGCCTGAGATGAGGGTGACAGGACCACAGGGACTCTGGCCGCTACTTATACTTCATGCCAAGTGTTTTCCACCTGGGATCAATTTTTTCCATTTAAACACACTTTTGAAGGCAATTGGCCTATAGATAATGAACCAACCAGCATCTCTGTGACAGGGAAAGGAGTAACTCTGATGGCTTGTGATCCCTTGACTAAATGAAGTTTTAGACATAAGAGGGAGAGGGTTTAGGGCCTGAAGTCTTCTTACCTCAGGCAAGAACACCCGGCTTTACTGAAGAAAAAGCCTCCCTTGCAGCTCGTTACCTCTCACTGCTCTGCCAGACACGGAGACTGGCCTTGAGGACCCTAACTGCAATCACAGAGACCAGAGCTGCCCAGCCAGCACTCACTTGAGCATCCCGCGGTGCTCGGCGTGCCACACCTGGATCCGGTCCTCCCACTGATCCCTGGTGAGCTTGTGCTGGTCCATGACTCTGGAATGCAAAGGAAGAGGGCATAACACCATCACCCTAAAGGGCTGAGAGGTGAGTGACAGCCCTGCCCGCCCTCATGTAAACCTTGACTTTTCAAATAAAACCACCATAAAGTGCTTTTGCTTCTGCTCCCGAATGGGTACCATTTCTACTTACGGTGACTCACAACCTGGAAGATTTAGAATCTGGGGCAAGACACAACTCAGTCTTGTTGGAAAATTTTTTAAAAGGTTTTTTATTTTAGGAGGCCTCTTCTTCCAAAAGAGGTAATTTACGTGACCGTGCAGTGCCTGCTGATGGCCAGAGCACGTGACCATGAACACACAGAATAGGAAATGACCAGTGTCCCAGCCCAAGGAGCACTTGGCCTTGACAAAGTCCCTGTGCCCTCTGCCTGTTTCTTTACCATCAGCCGTACCCGGGCCTGGCCACCTGCTCACCTCTGGGGGATCAGGCGCTCGGAGCTGAGGTACCCAGACTTGTGCGTGTCTTTGTTATAGTCCCCAAACTTGGCCTGCACTGCGTACGAGCCGAGGAGCACTGCCGTCTCAGGAGGGCAGTAAATCTCGTCGCTGAGAATGCCGTCCTTCACTTGGAGGAAGAAAAGCTTCTGCGTGATGTCCTGGATGAGCTCCTCAGACACGTCTTCAGGGTAGAACTTGGCCCTGAACTTGAACTGGAGAGGATTCTCCTTCCTGACCTCCTGGGCTGACACCTGGACATGACAGAGCCAGACTCTCAGGGTGAGTTCTGAAGACAAAGACCCGTGCTCCCAAACACAGGTTTCTAACTCCTGACTCAAAAGGTCCTTCAGGACAGTTTGCAGAGGACAGTATTGATTCTGAAAGTCATCTTTTTAACATGTAAGATGGGGGGAGGAAAAAAATTAAAAAAAAAAAAGGCCAGATAGAAAGTTCTATTATACTCCCACACTTAGCAGTGGCAACTTATTGACACACTAAGTCACGAGCCCAGCCCTGATTTTCTAGGGACAATGAGATCCATTCCAGAGAACTCGAATTTGGAGACACCTGCCCCGATGACCCGTGAGCCTGGCGTCTGCCCACGTGGCCAGTCTAGCCCTGAACCACGGAGCTCATGCTCAATAATTCCTCAGCCCCTCCCTCTTTCACACCTCCAACCGCCCTCCCGACTCGCCATGGAACAGGAGAGGAAAGCAGGGATTTGGGAAAAGGAACATTTTTCGAATTGTTTAGAGAAAACACATTTAGCTTACTGCTTTCCTTTATAATTGCTAATGGAATTATCCAGTCTTTGGAGTTGGAAAATAATCTATCCCAGGCTCAGACAAAGCAATAACAGGTTCTTACAAAACAGTGGATGATTCATGGTTTATAAGATTAACAACCTCATTGGAAAAAGAAAAAAACAAACTAAGGTCAACTAAAGCTATGCAGTTAACCATCATATGCTCCAACAAGTGAGCAGAAAGGAGAAAAGCCAGGGTCTAATTTCTAACCAATAATATCCCCAGTTACTGGAAACCTGCAAACCTTTTTGATTGTAAAAGTTTTACACAAATAAAAAGGGACTGAAAACAAAAGACAGAGTGAGGTCGTCCAGTTTCAATGTCAACGTCGTGGATCAACATCTAATTAACAGCCTGTAAATAGTTAACTTCGATTTACCTTTTTATCAAGTTTCAACCAGGTAGGAAATCCTTTATTATCTACATACTGGAGGCCAAAGTACCACACTTCCCGGAGGCCGATAGTCTTAACGACCTGTGAGAGAGGGACAGAGAGGGGAAGGGAAACGGGCATGAGAAACTGGATGGGCAGCGGCCACCAGCAGCCACTGTCACGGGGCACAGCACGGCTGCCCAGAGAGCAAGCCTCTCCTGCACTGTCGAGTACCCTGTTACTTCCACAGGCTATTATTACCCCAAAGCTGTGAACCATTTATTTCTAATATAAATTTGAGCAGATTCACGGCTAACTTTAAATCTTACATAATCTTAAGACCTTATAAAATCGCACGCCCGTCCTCTGGTGTCTCGTACGCCTTCCTGAGTAAAGACAACCAGGTGTGTGATTGCGAGCACACAGAGGACCAGGCAGAACCCAGAGCACACCGGTTCAAGTGTGGGTCTCAGGTGTGAATGTCACCTGTCAGGTGTGCCCACGTGAAAGAGAGGGTGGAAGGTTCCAACATGAAGCGAAGAAGACCTGGGCCTCCTCCGGCCGGCTGGTCCTGCGTAACAGGGGACAAGGGGTCAGCAGTCCAGGAGAGGCGGGAGGCAGATGGTGGAGGAAGCGGGGCGGGCAGTGCTCGGCCTCACGCGTGCGCAGCACGAGGCCTTCTTTCAACCTCCAGAGAGTTGAAATCCTGATACGGGAAGGTAGAATTCAACCGTAGGTCACGGCAAGGACTTCGCATTTGAAAATCCTCCACAGTACTAGAAAGTCTCCTGTGGTCCATTACAGAGAGCCCTAAGCCGGTTATTCGTGTGTCTCGGAAACAGAAAAGCAACTTGCTGTGGTCACTGGGAGGACGTCATCAAAACTGAGTCCCAGAGCTTTGCTGTATGGTTTTAAATCCCATGACACACAATGTTAAGCCTCTAAAGAAAAAGGTTATCATTCTTCAAACATATGGCTTCTATCATATCTAAAGGGAAAGGGGACTGAACATACGAGAAATGATAAATCAGGTGTCTGGAGTACATGCTTAAAATAAAATCTGGAATTCTGAATAAACTGCTGCTCCGAGCCCGTTTCCACATCTGTTGGGGGACCAGATGCCTGCTGGAGCTCCAGGAGTCTCTCCATTCCACGCCAAGAGCTGACCTGTCCCTCTGTTCCCCTCATTCACCCAGAAAAGGGGAGTAGGCACGCAACCAGGAGACCTCGTGACACAGAAGAAATCTTGGTTCTGACACAGTACTTTACTCCCAAGTCTTTTATGAAACCCAGTGTCTTGTTTTCATGGTGGCTAAGTGTAGAGAAAGCGGATTTGAAAGCCCAGATTTTCTATGCCCAATTCTGCTCATTTCTCATTCCCTACAGACCTCATCTCATCATTTGGGTGTAAGACCTCCCTTACCTTACTCCTCAGGTTGTTTTGAAGTTGCACAAAAAAGCCCCACATACAAGGCAACTATCCTCTCTCCAATCTAGGCTTCCCACGTCACGCGCCCAACTGCAGCCGCAGCCTGGGTCTTCGGCAGTTTAGAATGATTTCCTGCCCACTGGATGTCCCTCCCATCCCTGTCTGACCCCTGATTTTCAGGGCCACAGCTCAGATTCCTCTTCCCCATCTGCTAAGATGGGGCCAGCCCCTTCACGGAACAGGGCACAGACTCTACAACCACGTCATGGTCGGAATCCAGGACCCTCACTCTCTCGCTCAAAGCCTGTCCCCCTGTGCCCTGATCTGCCACATCTTCACGGTGTGACTCTCCTCTGGATTTCCAGAATGACTGTCCTCAGAGTTTCAAAGGCCTATTTCTACCGTGGTGGCTTCCCCAAAAGGACACAACAGAATCAAACAACCTTCCTCTCCACAGTCCATTCTACCCACCAAGCTGCACGTCCTGCTGGGGGAGCCTAACGTCACCATTCTCTCCGTCCTAAGCTGAACTAGTGGCCGATGCTCACCAGGGAGCTGGAGCCGAAGCCGGCACCCGTGTGGGTCTATTCCTTTATCTCTGCCTCGGCGGGGTGTCAAGGGGCAGGTTTTGGAAAGGAAAAGGTCAAGGTGCGTCTCCTTCATTCGTCTGCTTCGTTAGGTCTCAAGCAACAGCCGGAAAACACTTTCTGACGTGGGAACAAGGGCGCCAGGTCACACGGCCCAACTTCCTCGCCGCCTCGGTGACTTCAGCAGTGGAAACGAACCACCCACACCGAAAACCAAGCGTTAAGTGGGGTCCAGAGGCAGAGGAACCATCCTCTGCTTGGCCCTCGCTAGCTGTGTGACTTTGGGCAATTTGCTTTCTCTCTCTGAGCCTCCATTTCCTCATTTACGACATGCAGATTTGGTCATTTTCCAGATCTGCTCCAACCCCAGCGTTCTTAGATTACATGGTATTTTTCATTAGGGATACACCAAACTCAGAAAAAAAAAAATTAAACATCAGCTCTGTCAGAGGGCTTTGAGGTCCAGGCCCCGTCACGGATGGAGAAGGGAGAGAAAGCGGGGAGACGGAGCGCAGAGGGACCCCGAATCCGCCTACTACTCCCTTTCTCCTAAATCTGACCAGCATGGAATCTCATTTCCTGTCCTGGGGGCTGGCTGACAGTTCAGACAGGAAAGACAGCATGGCAGTGGAGGGTACAGTGAGACCGGGCCTTGGTTGTTCTGTAGCTTCGGGGTTCGGGGGAACGTTTTCTGGGCTGGGGAAGTGTAATACAGTGCTCTACAGGATGGTGGACAGGCGACTAGAGAGCTTCGGAATAATCTGGATGAGGAGCGTGTTAAAACTTGGCACGCTGATTGGATTTCTATGTTTAGTTTTTAAATAACCCGTTTACCAGGCGAGCTCAGGGTCCCTTTGTGTACACCTGCTGATCCCCAGCACCACACTACTGCTGAGCAGCAAATCTAGTATTAGAAAAACACCTGGCTTGAAACCAACACAAACGCCAAACTAGATACAATTATTCAGCATTTAGGGACACCCAACGGTCTGTCAAAATGGTTCCCTGAATCAAGAAGCTGAGCTCACTTGTGACGTGTGCAGCCCCACATCTAGCACACACGCGTGCAAGTTAGAGAAGCGTCCGTGGAAATGAAACGCAGGAACGAGGTACCAGGGCAAGCCCCTCCCTCTCCCTCTCCACGCCCCCCTCCCTCACTTCCAAAGTAGCAGAGACGAGGGTCTTATGAGAAATAACGGCATCTATATCTTGCAGTGTAAGTACTGCAAACTCTTTAACAGCCTCTTCCCACAATCTCTGAAAAGCAACGTGGGAAGGAAATATGGGAGATGGAGGTAAGGGAAGCTAGATGATCAATATAGCAAAACTTCACACTAATACAGAGCTTCCCATCTGCGCGTTAGAAATAAGTTGCTCGTGGAGGGCACACGCACAAACCAGGGTCTCTGTGACCGAGGGGCACGGTGGCTGCAGGCAGAGCTAACACTAGCACCCAGGTCTCCTGCCCCTTCTGTGTTCTAAGCATTGTGCCACCTGGCACTCAGCTGGCTCCACTAAACTCACCTCAAGATTATCTTTCAGGAGAAACCTTTAGAATTTCACCCTAAGGTCAGCCCCACCCAGAACAGTAAATGTCTTTATCCTTATTGGGTGAGGCAAAGCCAGGGAATGACCTCAAAACAGTGGCACAGGGACAGCCAGGACTGCTGAGGCGGCGGTGTGCACACCCCATCGCCCATGCACTTCTCCTAGGGGCTGCTGCAGAGCCGGCCCAGGGCGTGGGGGACAGGCGGGAGAGCCCACCGACCCCGGCGGGAGCCACCTACAGCTTCTAGATCTGCTAATATGCGACCTCCCAGCTTTCTAAGTCTGCACCCACTTCAATTTCCGGGTTTGGTGCTAGGAGGCAGGACACCGCCTCTCCTCCCCTGGGAACTCGGGGAGGCAGGCACGGCTCAAGTTACTTGTACATTCACAGCCGGTCCGGTTGCCCTACTGAATTCTTGGCCCCAGAGCAGAATTTACTGAGCCCAGAAAGCAGACATCGTTCTCTCTAAAGCTTAGAACGGAGGAATGATCACAGCCTTCCCAGTGATTCGCCGTCCTTGTTGAAAGGCTCTGAGTTCCCCTTCGGGCTGCGTGCACCATGTCCCTCGGTCACAAGAAGAAATCTGCAGGAACGTGGGTGTGCTCCTGGGAGAGGCTCACCCCAGAACTTGTGGCCTGCTCGGTTCCAGTCGGGCCCTCGGGCAGTGTCCAATCCCCACTGCACCCCGCCCCGCAGACCGGATGGCAAGAAGGAACCAGGGTGACCATGGGGACCTCTGTGGGGAGGGCGCGGGGGTGCGGCCAGAGCTTTGGATGCAGCACTGTGCTGATGAAAGGCCCCGACGTCACCTAAATTCCCTCTCAGGGGGGTGTCTACGACAGCTGAATCCCCTGGCAGGAGAGAAAATCGGTCTGCTCTATAAAGAGAAGCAGGCAGCAGACCAAGGAGTATGCCTAGCGAGCAAAATTATTTGGCTGCTGCAAAAAATTTTTCTAAATGGGAATTCTCTCTCTAAAGATTACAGCAACCAACCTGATCGAAAAGCTGTTTCCCCGTCGTATTCGGCTGGATGGCGAACTCCAGCTCTGCGTCCATGGTGGTAACGCGGACATTGATCTAGAAAACGAAATAAAACAAATTACACTTAACTGAGAGTTCTTTTCTCTTGATAATCTGAGCCTTCGACATCAACCCAAAACCACTCTGCAATGTGGCGAGAGCCTTTTCCTTTACAACTTCCATTCTCATGCTAGACACACACACACACACACACACACACACACACACCCCTCTCCCACCGCCCCCCGCTGATGGATACCTGACGAGTCTCAGCACATGCACACGGTCTGGATTTAAACGCACGCCCTCTTCTTTAGTTAAAGTACATTCACACTGAAGTCTAAGCTATTTTTCGACAAAAATACTTTGGTAGCCGTTAGCGTGTTTTCCACACACCATCTCGTACTGACCGTTACAACAGCCCAGTGAGACAGCAGTGGGGAGGGGAGCCTGCTCCCTCAGACCGCAGCGTAAGGGAAGGGAGAGAGAAGCAGCTACATACCAGAATGTTCGCGACACCGGAAGCCACCGGAAGAGTGAAGGGAGAAATGGTTAAATGGCTAAATGCACATCAAAGAGGACAGAATATCACGTAGTAATTTGAAATGGTAATTTCCGTGAAGTAGAAACACGGAAAATTGCTTCGAAAATTAAAAATATCACATGCGAAATGGTATGTACCCTATAAATGAAAATACGTGAGATCGACCTAGACAAAAGATGACAATAAAATGCAAAAATGGAAGAATTACTAGAACAGCAGGAGAGCGGAGAACGGCAGTGTTGGTGACGAGAGCATTATAAATGTCTGAGGTTGCGACATGCTTGTGTATTTTTCAAAATTTATTTCAAGATAGTTTGCAAATTTATCACTTGAGAAAACCCAGATCTACTTACTAGCGTATGAAAAACACACAAATCTACTTTATATCACTGTCCCAAAGGAAAATACCACGGCCACACAGCAACTGTAACGCTTAATATTAAGAAATGCTTGCTTCTTGCCAGTTTTCAGGTGAAATAGAGAGCTGGAACTGAATTTTTCCTAGCACAGACGTTAATGTAATGAAGACAAATTAACTGTACTGATAGTTAGCTGACAGCGGTCTAAGTATCCAGCCAGGGCATGACACACTCACACGTTCATGGCACGACATGTTAGTTCTGACTTCAGGAACGAAATTAGTCTTTACAAATCACCAACACTCAAGACGGGAGACAACTGAGATACTTTGCTACACACCCAGTATGTCTAAGGGCTGTCTCATATTATACACAGGGAAACGAGGTTTAATCTTCCGGAGACTTAAAAAAGTTTCCCCGCCCACCTCAAATCTATAAATTAAAGAAGTTTGCTGAGAAACAGGATTAAGTGGGTAGGGACAACCAGGCACAGTCAGGCTTGTTGGATGTTTGGATCAACATCAAGAATTGCAGTTTCCAGTTCTGTGGCCGGTGGAAGAGCTTTGTAAGTATTTTCTGCAGTGAATGAAACTGGTTTGGAGTGACATAAATGTGGCGGAGTGAGAGATGTCCCCAGAGCTCTCCCCTTGAAACAACAATAAGCTGAACATCTAAAACTCGACAGAAAACCTTGCACATCGGCACGTCTGAGCGTGGGGTCTGCGCGTAAGAGCGACCACAGAACACACTTCCATTAATGCCCAGGCGGAGAAATAGTCCATTAAACACCACGAACAACTAAGGTGACAAAGCAGCTCAGAAAGAGAAAAATCTCCAGAAAGTAAGCTTAAAGACATAGAAATATGTGACTTAAATGACAGAGAATTCGGGATGGTACTTCTGAAAAAACTCAACGAGATCCAAAATAATTCATATCAACAATTCCAGGAACTGAAAAAACAACGAGGTCAGCAGGATGAGTTTAGCAAGGAGACTGAAACTCTCAAAAAGAAACAAGATTAAGCCTATTTTAAATTCTTTGATTATATTAAAATATAAAAACCGAAGTTTTTTAAGGTTCTGAATCAGGTTCATCTTCGACTCCAAGTTCACAGAACTCTTTGAAAAAGCAAATAACCAGCTGAAACTTTTACTGAGGTTGGACATAATAAGCTAGCAGTATGTGGAAAGTGAACTTATGAGAAATTAAATGTAGTGAGGTCTGCATAATCTGTATGAACTCCATGTCTCATCACAAGGACTTAGTCTGACCACCCGCAGTTCTAACAGGCCATTTTGCTAAGTTTTAGTTGGTCTGGCCTTTCCAGACTTTTCATGGGCTGCAACACCCCAAGGCAATCATAAAGTCTGGTATATCACCGCAAACAAAGATGGCAAACTTAAAGATCAGGTTAAGTCCTTCCGGCACTGCAATAACAAATAAAACTGGGACGAGCCAACAGGAAGCAATCTGTGGACTGAAGGTTGGAGACTTTTCCTCCGATCTGTCCACAGGCCCTGCCAAAAGGTTAGTTAACTCCCAGTTCTGATTTGGGGATGCGCCAAAATTATTTTCAGAAACCCCCTCTAAAACTACAAAATCAAGTTAACTCTAATCAATGGATGTATATATTCAAATACAGTGCGTGCACAATCTTTTTTCTGATGATAACTTGTCAAATATACAAAACATTCTTGAAACTGAATGATAGTCATATATATTTTTTTAAATCTTAATATATTCCTACTTTTATAAGACATTTGCTTAATGTACATAGTTATCTCATTCCATGGAAAATAACCTTTGTTTTTATGTCCCACTCCCCACATTTGCTTAAAATTCTCTATCATTTCTATATATTTGCATTTATTTCTGTACATCTAGGGTCCTTCTTAGTGGTTTTCTGTAACAAGAAGCTCAAATGCACTATTACATGAAGTATTTTGCTGGGGAGGGTTGTTTGGTATCAGGCTCGATCCCAGAAAACATACATTACTTAACTTTTAAATATCTTTATCTGAGCTTGTTTTAGTTGGTTTCGTTCCTTTATTTCCAAGTTAATTTTAATCCATATATGTGTAAATCGGGCACAGTGCACAGTGCAATCTTGATACAGAGGCTGAGATGAGAGAACGCACAAGCTCTAAACAACACGTGAACGAACAGTATGTTAATGACCAATGGCCTTCATGGGTGTGTGTGTCGCTTGACTACTCATTGCCCTACTACGGCTTCTCACCAGGGGTGCTCCTGGCATTCTGGGCAACATGAGCACTCCTTCTGCAGGACTAGCTCCAGTACTGTAGAATGTTTAGCATCGCTGGGCCTGCCCACCAAACACAGGTGCCCAGGCATTGGGACATCTAAATGCCCCACTCCACACACATGCACACCTCCAAGTGCTCTTTGGGAGAAAGGGGAGGCTCCGATCCAGATAAGGACCACAGCACAGTGCCGCCTTACTAAACAGCATGTTACACAGTTCTACGTTTAGAAAGACTATGAAAACTCCTTTCAACGTTATGGCTCTTGAATAATGTGCTGAAAAACAGCATAAACTTTTATCAGGGTTTAAGATGAAACATTTACTCAGCTAACAGGACCATTTATACCCATACTTGGGTCTACTTATCCAGGGGCTTTAAAAGAAGCCAGGTTTTGGCAATTAAGTAAACACATCTAAATCCCAACTCTATTACTTTTGTGTTAGGGTTTCGTGGTAAGCAGTTGTTTTTAGTGAACTCGGCGTCCTGGGATGAAAGCTGGCGCTCGTGCTGGTAACGATGCCACAGGTATAAAGTGGGGTTACACCGTCTCACGGGATTTACGTGAGAACGGCCCCCACAGAAAGCCAGAGCGCCAAAGGCTTCAGCGCAGACCGCACGCACCCAAACCGTGCGCGGAGCCCAGGCGAGAGCGCATGCGCCGTGCGTCTTGGTCCTTCCCCCTGGATCACACACGCTCTTCAAAGGCAATATTCGCTGACGGCGGCAAATTCACATAGTAATGTGTAGTGCAGCTGTGTGCACAGAGGAGGCAGTTAGTCATTTAAAATCTATCCCTAAAAGGCAGGGTTGATCTCAGGCTTGCCAAATACTGAAAACCTTTTGAACATTCTGCTTTTTGTTTGGAGGCGGTGGTAGTAACCAAAGTTTAATTTTGCTCATGTATCCTATCCCTGCCCCACATGCACACACAAAGAACCATGTGGTTTACGGTGTAGATAATTTAATAATTCTTGTCTCCCTTCCAAATACTACCGTTTGAGACTAAGATGCAAAGTCACACTGCAAGTTCTAAAATGGTAGAACATATAGGGAACCAGACATAATCATACTCCACTGTTTACAATGGGATTTCATAAACAAATTTAGATATAAAGTTAAGCCAGCACTCTGATGATTAAAAATAACCAGGGCTTTCTACAGCTACGTATGTCAGAGTTTTATAGGATGACTTATCTTAGACACAAGTCAGGAAAACTTGGCATTGAAGATGCTCCAACCCCTCGAAGAAAACAAGGTTCTAACGAGTTATGTATATTTTTTCACACTAACCATATTTAGCAGAAAAATCTCCTTTTCTGCCCCACAGTAGCCTAGCTTATTAGACCAATTGTATTTTCACTTTAGTACGAGAGGTAAGTTTATGATCTATTACCAGAATATCATTATATATGCAAGAGACAAATGCCTAAAAACAAAAACAAGAGTGAATTGTTTTATTTCTTAAACAAGAACAAAACTGGCCAGTAAAACTTATTAAATTTAAGCAAAATACTGTGTGAGTTTTTTCATGAAGAATGACTAGAATTTCACAGGTATTTTGCTCCAGGTCACTTGACTATATAGCATATATTATTTAATACCAGGATTTAACACATAAACCTATCTCTGTCTTAGTTAATGAAGATAATGAGAACCTAACTAAAATACTCTCTATCCTACCTCTGCTTAATGACCTACTCTTTAAAAAATCACATTTGCTGGTTTTTTTAAGGGTTATTAGCTCAGCTCAAAACCACCACACTGGTGACACACTGAAGAACCGTAGTAGCTTCATCCTTCTTCCTCTCCCAGCCGGCCCCAGCTGGTGGGCACCTTGCATCCTTTGGGGCTCACTCACTCTACAAACACCAATCGCACGCCTACTG